TAAACCTTGAAAACCCTGAACCCTAAACCGCACAACCCTGAAACCCCAAACCCGAAAAAAAGTAGAAGCCCTGCGTTACTATCTCAACCATAAGGTAAAAGAAAATGCCTTGACACTATACAACTACCAATACTATTCTTTGCTATAAGTACAGTACAACATAGCCTCGAAACCCTATTCTGAGCATTACGGCCCGTAAGCATATATGGCAGCTCTTAGAGGAACCCGGTAAAAAGACTCCTATTCCAAGTACCCAAAGCCCCCTAAAAGTATACCCCTAAACCCTAAAGCCCTAAACCCTAAACCCTAAAACCCTAAAATCCTAAACCCTAAACCCCAAAACCCTAAAACCCTAAAACCCTAAACCCTAAACCGATCTCCCTTCTTCTTCTTGGGGCCAGGTCAGTGCTTCCTTCCTTCGCTCTGTTGGTCCATGGTGTGGCTCCAGCGGGATTATCAGGGTCCAGGGGACTTTTCTTTGGATGATGTACCACACCGCTAGTATATCATACGAATACTAGACTATAAAAACTCTACTATACGAGAAGATTGGGTTTTGAACAATCGGGGTTGATGTCGGAAAGGTTTAGGCCTCAGGCTTTAAGCTCCTGGCACAGGTTGCAGGGTCCTTGGGCGCAGGTTTTTTCATGTTTGGTGTTCAGGCCAGCTTGTAAAAGGGTTTCAGGATATTTCAGGGTTCCGGTGTAATATAGAGGTCTGAAAGACGGCACTTGTATCCCCTTGTCGTCCCTATCTAGTTCTGTTGGAATATGCCCCGAATACGGATCGACGAATCACAGTCCGGTTTCTTGCCTTCGTGATTGACATGAAGACTATCACTGAAGGGTACAAGACTCTTGACGATGCAACTTGCAATGTTGGTTGGTTATGCAGTCAGCTGCATCTGTCTCCACGATGCGCCAGAACTCTTTCGGCTAATTCGCACCTGAAATGGTCCACCCCCATACCCTAGATGCCGGGGTTTAGGTTTGGCAGGGACGTGACAGTGTTTGCGGCTCAGGGCCTCTTGTGGTGCAGGGTATCGAGGCCGTTGAGGGGTTGGCATGTGGGAGCTTCAGGGAATCAGCGGCTCTTTTGGAAATCTTCGCATTTCAGGCTTCGGATTTAGGTTTGAATGGGCCTTGGGGCTTAGAGCATACTGTGCATCGTTCGGACATTGGCGTGACAGAGTCAGATTGTATTTTTATCATGCCGCACAACCTCCAAACACGAAACCCGTCCATTCTTGAACTCAGGCTGCTCGGCCTCCTCATGTCCATGGGATCGCTGTTCCTGGGGCTTCTCGCTTTGCGCAAGTTAGAGCGACCTTAAGGGCGGAGAAACCCAACGCGAAACGCACAGCTTGCAAGCTCTGTGAAGCCTTTTTGCTCCAGATTCCCGTGACGTTGCTGGCAGCAGTTAGCACGCACGACACGAACCTGCAGCTATACATAGTGCCGTCAAGCAGAAACCCTAAACTCTTTTACTTTCGACCTGGCGCCCTTGATCATGTTTCGAACCCACCGAGGAATCTTCTGCAAGATCCCATCGCAGATGAGGCCATGACGCTAGAAGATCGGCTGCTGAGACCGCAAGGATCAGCAGACCATTGCATGCACCGCTGAGCTTTTGCCTTCCAGGGCTGCGTGGTAACCCTTTGGCAGCACTGGAAGTATCAGACTCCTCCCGCCCTACTGCAGCAAGGTGAACACTCGCCAACAGAAATGTCAGAAGCAATCCAGACTCCCGGCGGATCCCAGGCAATGGTTGTGGAGTCGATATGGGACGGCCTACCGGTCAACCTACACGCTGTTCGAGATAACTTTTGCAGGCAGGCATCTTCTGTACCCATGCCAAGTCCAGCACTTGCAGATACGGTACGGCTCAGTCGCAGAGATCAGTGCTTGCACGCAATTCTGCGGAGGTTTGCAGGTCATGTGGGTTCAATCTTGAGCATGACGCAAAGTCCGTCATGACACTCTGAATTGCCGGTTACACACACTTTTGCGAAGCCTGCTCTGGGTCGTTTGGTCACTCATTGGCCCTGCCAGCCCTGAGAATGGTCAGCTTGCCAAGACCTGGTACAGAGATTATGTGTTCGACATGAACGGCTGTCTTTGTTCAGGTCAGCCATGCAACATACAGATGATGGTTGTAGAGCGCACCGCATAGCGTTTTACGGGCAATGCAGATCTAAAGAAACGGTCCTAGCTTTGTGTTGTAAGCGCAACGGACCAAATCCACCCCCGCCCGATGCCCAAAACACCACGCCCGTTGGCAGGTAACTGGCCGACATTCGACCGCAACATTGCCAGCTGAAGTAGTACTACGGGCTGGGAAAGGCATTTACCACCCAAGGGTTTGCACGGCCATGGGTTTCGTGGAGTGAAGGCCCTGAGACCAGAATCATCGTTTAGCATCCTATGACCTGACGACTGTAGGGGCTTGAAAGTTGCTGCCCAGCAGTGAACTTTGCCTGCATACAGCAAGGATCAGTGCTCGTCCGGTCCTGGAGAAGGTTTCTCATGCCTTCGTCGCGTTCTTTGCGCCTTTTCACGCAGATAACAACTGATTCCCCCGTTTGTTGCATTGCACCAGGCTGACGGAAGGGCATCCTAGGCAGCCTTTCGAATCCAATTAGCCTTCGTCTACGAAGCCTACCAGATGTTTCAGGGAAACATATTGACACAGCCACAACTGCAACTCCGAGGTGATTTATATTACGGTCGTGGTTTTCGCGATGCTGCGCGTCATTAGCGCCGTCTTCTTGAAGGCCGTTGAACAATTGCACGTGTGTTTGTGGCCCTGCTCGAGAACTTGGTAAGCACACACCCTGGCCAAAGGACACACTGGATGCTGCACAGAATGACGCCGAACAGCTGGTCATGGACAAGATGCGGACGCAGTCGGAGCAACCTTACAGTATTTTGAATGGCTTCTGTAATTAGGTTCGGATGGGGTTGGTTCCTCGTGCAATTTGAGGGCCTGAGGGATCGAACGGTCTCCAACATGAGGGCGAGTGGACATAGACATAGACAAAGAGACAGACGGCTTCTAGTATACTACTATTGTCCACTGCCGTCGTGCGACTAGCTAGAACGTATGCCGAAAAGCGAACAGGCAAGAAAGGTTGTGTACATACATTTGTATGTGTATATGTTTTATTGTATTTCATTATTTTAAACTTTATTATACTTTATTATGCTATATTATACTATACTATATTATATTATATTACATTATATTATACTATGTTATGCTACAATTTAATATATTATATTATATCATGCTATACTATATTCTACTATATTATGCTATATTATACTATATTGTATCATATTGTATTGCATTATATGACATGCACATTCCGCAGCTCCCATACTAGGACAAACAATCTTCAGGATGGGTTCCGACACGTAGCCCTGGCATCAGCAGGAATTTACAGTACATGGCTTACCGCTAGGAGTGCACTGATTGGGCAGGCCCTAGCAAGGAAGAAATCTTAAACCAAACGAACAAAGACTCATTGAAAGAGCAAAGAAAAGAGTACGTTGCGCCTTCCCCTTTTCGGATGCACTTTGTACGATTCCCAGTGCCCGAGCACCTGCCACCCGACCTACGCTATGCAGGTACATTCAAAAGCTTGAGGAAATCTTCAGGCCGGGCACGGGATTCCCGATTACCAAAGAACCCCTAAATATAGTTGGAGTCCCTAATTTTGTGGCTCGGTTTTAAGTGTCGGTTTGGCTTCAGTTCTTCGACCAGCAACAGGGCTTGAGTGTAGAATCGTGGCATGCCGCTCGTTGCGTTTAAATGTCGAGTCGATGCGGATGGTCTAGCGATGTCTATTTAGTTCGCTCATGACGAGTTCTCGAGTCGAAGTGGCAAACGGTACAGACAAGATGTGTTCAGAAGCTTCGCACTGTCATTGCTACCATCGTCACTTCGCTTCCCTTCCGACAAGCTAGCTTGAGGGTGCTGATCCACTGGTTCGGGTCTTTCAGATCAACTGCAGGATCCCAACTCTTGCATTGTTCAACTTAAAGATAAGAAGCTGTGGAGTATTTGAGGATGGTTGTTCTGACACCAGATCCTTTTCCGGAACCCACAACCAGACGAGCCTGTCCTAGCAACACTCATATGTGTGTCTAGGTTTTCGATGGCCCCCTACATGAGGTTCTGCGTGTCTAGGATGTGCACGCTTGCTTCAAGGCAATGCTTTGCTATGTATCTTTGCAGAGTCTGCTCATGTAGTTATTTATGCCTGTGGGTGGGTTTGTGTGACTTGACTCGCCTGTCTCGCCGTAGCCTAAGACAAGGGTCGAAGTAGCTTTAGTTATACTCTCCCTGTACAGTCTCTATACAGTCATAGCAGATAAGCCCTAAAACCATGTGGTAAGTGTTCAGCCCTTAATTTCTACTCAACATACACAAAACGACCTCGTCACTCCACTCCCACAATCCCGCGCTTCGCTAGGGATCACATGGGACAATTCTTCATAAACCAAGCGCTTTATGTTCACATGCTGCTGGGGTACTAGGTTGAAGTTCTCTTGGGCGAAAGCGCATTGAGTGCCATGGGGGCAGCCAGCGACTGCTTTAGTGGCCGCGACCGGATGCTGGTATCCTTCTGCCCTCTGCAGAAGTCTGCGCTTTGATGGTCTGGGGAGAAAGACGAACAATTGACTGGCGATGTCGCGATTAAGCTGGCGTCTGTTGGAGTTAGATGCTGAGAGCAATGCTACAGTGGTGTTGGCACCTTCCAACACCCCCACAGAAGAGCATATAGCTGGCATCTTTCAGGACTTCTGCAGAAAGCCAAAAAAAAGTCGCACTGATTCGGAATCTGATAGCAGTGTTCCCATCTTCACCTGATGCCTGTGGATATTTTTGCGCTCCAGCTGACAGAGACTATTCGTGATCCGAGCAAGCTTGCGTCGTCAGCTTGTTGGAACAGGAGGAGATTAACAGCTGTGTAGCAGCATCGGTGCTATGGCTGTCATGCAAGTCCGAATGTCTTCCTACGCTGAATGACTGGCACTATGGGCACCAATTTGACGCATGGAGGGCCGATGCAAATCAGCATGATGCAGTCTGCTCTTGTGGACCCTGTGAGATCTCGTCATCGTGCACCCTTCGCAATTTGTAATTTGCTGTCCATGACGGTGAGTATGCTAATTCTGAAGTGCGATGTGAAGCTCACCCTCTCTGTGGGGCCGTATTATGTGCGTGCGCTGAGAGCTCGAAGGTGCCATGGCTTTCGGGAAGCTTTTGAAGTTCTTTATTTGGCAGCGTTTCTGGGAGACGGCAAAAACGGCCATAAGAGGTTGCTGGAACTCTGCATGTCTCTGGAATGCAGCAGATCTGTTGGATAAGATGTCCTAGAGTTCTGCAGCACCGCTGCCGATTGAATGGGCTCCTGTGTATAGTTCTGCTTTTGCGCTGCGAAGCCTTATCTTGTCGTTTGAGACGGCTCTACACAATGTATGGTCTTCTTTGGCGATGTGTGCCACGTGCTGCTAAATCGCTGCATTGCGTGAGCTTATCTAGTTGCGGAGACAGTGCTAGACGATGTAAAGTTTGCTTTGCGATCTTTGCCACATGCTGCTTAATCGCCAAGCTACTGTTCTCTCGAGTGTACCCTGCAATGCGGGCTTGTCCTAGCTAGGTGGGAAAAGACCCAAAGAAGGCCTGAGATAAATTTAGGAAACCCGAAAGACCCACTGTTTCAATGACCAATGGATGCCCCACTATTTCAGTCTCGCTGTGCTGTGCTGGGTGAAAGCTCGATCGGCATAGTTGCTTACTTTCCTGGTCGATGGCAGGGCGTGTCCATGACACTGTCTATGTCTATAGTTGTCTCTAGAGGTTTGTAGAATCGGGCTTAGTAGGCTCCGTAAGTCGGAATGTGAAAATGCCATTTGATATCCATATCGGTTGCTGGGCTCGGTCTGTGTCGTGGGGTGCTCTACATGTGTAGCAAAGGTGAGACTTTCCTGTGCTGATTGTTATCGGTCGTATGTACAAGCAGGTTCAAGCAGATTCGGCCTTGAATAGAAAACTTGTATTCATGCATGCCAAGCCCCCCATCTCTTTGCACGTTCTCTGCATCCAACCTAGACTGCCTGTCTGTCTGTTTTTCTCGCTCCCTCTCTCTAGCTCTCTCTCTGTGTCAACCTGTGTAGACATGTACACGATCTACGTGTATCTGAATTTCCTGCAGAAAATGTGCTTATGATCTGGGAAACAGCCTACTTATCTACATGCCTTCCGTGACAAGGATCCCCAAGATCATGAGTAGCACCCAGCCAAGCCAGGGCGATCAGCTGCTCAAAGTCCAGTATGATCACGGAAGCAAGGCTCATTGAGTGCCGCGGATCGCATCAACCGAACTTGCTGCGTCTTGTTTTAGAAACTGAATGTTTGGATGAAGGGCAGTTTTCTGGGCTTTTTGACCAAGCATGGCTCATAGGGTTGCATGTTACAAGCTTGTTCCATAGAGTCAAGGCCCTGATTTCTCGTCACTTTGCATGTTGTATCTCGAAAAGAAGCTGCGCATATTTCCGGAAAACATGCCTTCACATGGGCTTTCAGGATCTTCCAGAACCCGAAGGTGGCGGCTTACTTCCAGACCTTGGACTTGGATGTGTCTGGGCGGCAAGGCGTTCGGTGTTCTTGGGAGGCCCTGTTCCCAAACCCTGAAGCCCTGAGCTTGGCTCCCGCAACACCATCCAAGATCCTCGAAGCTGGAGTCTTGCTGGAGAAGGTATCCGTCTCATGACTGTGCAGGGCCACCATGTACGTAGCCATCTTCGCTGCCCACAGAGTGGACAACATGTCCCGCAGGCATTAGCCCCAAAGCTCGAGGTCTTCAAACCAGTGCAGCCTCACAGCCGCAAGCCCATTGTCCTCAGGTGCAGGAGAGCCGAGCTTTATTTCACGTCCTCGCACCTTTGCATGATTCAGTGGTTCAGGCCTGGTTATGTACAAAAAAAGTGCTTCAGCAACAATGACGATCACTACACCACTACTGTTGCTGCTGCATAAGCAGCTGCCACTCCCACTTCTACAAAGACTTGCACACGCGCTCTTGTACTATATGTTGCTCTTGCTGCTGTTTCAGCGAGCGCGACTAGACACACGAGGACTGCCTAGAACTAGTCCAGGACCTAGCTGAAATCGTCGTCGCAGTTAAAGTCGTGCACACATTCGCGGACCCTGAACAATACACTTGTAACATTTGTAACTTCATGTTTCAAGGGCGCGCAATGCTGGGCACGGGCGCCTGTGTCTTAGACTAGGATTTTGCATTGGAAGCTTGCGGGCTGTCAGCCTTGCATGCTTGACAGAATACCTCGGCTGACGTAGTCGCATGCTATGCAGAAACGCATCCGGAAAGACACAGAGCTACTGTTTTTGTAGTTTGGCTCCGTCTGGGCTCTGCTCGACTGTCTGTAACATTTCGACATGCGGACAGCTGCGATGACCATCCTCCGTATCCTCAACATCATCGTCAACCTCAGCATCTTCATCATCGTCATCTTCTTCTTCCTCTTCATCATCGCTATCATCCTCATCCTGAGTCTACTTAGTAGTAATCCCAATTAGTTTGTTGGAAGTTGGCTTAACTGCATTTTCCAGACACTTTGTGAAACCCTGTACCCTGTATTTTTTGCTCTCTACCCACTGAAAACTACCAGGCGCCCGGAGGCACGCAACCCTAGTAGTAGCAGTAGCAGCAGCAGCAGCAGCAGCAGCAGCAGTAGTAGTAGTAGTAGCAGTAGTAGTAGCACGCGAGCCCATATTAGACCTGCAGTTATCAGGCACTTTTGTTGTACTTTGCAGCGTTCTTTCGCAGTGCGAGGTCTTTGTTCGGCGGGGGTGTTGGGGTGCCTCTGTCCTGCGGCAGAGGAAGACAGCCAAGTCTCTCAACCGTCACCCTAAACCTTAATCCCTAGTTTGTGCGTTTACGGATTCACGCGCAAAAACTTGTGCGTTTAACGATGTCAAGTGCGGAAACTAGTGCCAAGGCCGAGGAGTTCGTAACGTAGTAGTAGTAGTAGTAGTAGTCGTCGTCGTCGTCGTCGTGGTGGTGGTGGTGGTGGTGGTGGCGGTGGTGGTGGCAGTGGTAGTAGTGGAGTAGCAGCAGCAGCAGCAGCAGCAGCAGCAGTAGTGGTGGTAGTAGTCGTCGTCGTCGCAGTAGTAGTAGTGGTGGTATTTGTTATTGTTTTGTTACTGCGGTGCTCAGCAGCAGGTACTTGATGGAGTCGTTCTATTGGTCGCAACGCAGCTCTTGGTGATGGTGGTGATAATAGCAGTGGCAGTCGTCGTCGTACTCGTAGTCCTACATGTGGGAGTAGTAGGAGTCGTAGTCGTAGCAGCAGCAGCAGCAGCAGCAGCAATGCCTTTGTTACGGTCTTGGCTGAGGACAACGGCGACGGGGAGATTTCTCTCGATGAGTTTATCGCCACTTGCTGCAAAATTGGCCTCCCCGGTGTAATTTTGCCAGGGCTTTGCACTAAAGATGTTCCAGTCTTGTTTCTGCTGCCACAGCCCGACGGCTTCGTTTCCACATTAACCTCAGCTTGTGCATCATTTTGTTTCGGAGCACAAATCGCCTGGACCGGTGAGCGAATGTGTGAGTTCTAATCAAGGCCACAGAAATACCTGGGTTGCCCCTGCCCTCGTTTGGGGTCCACCCAAGCTCAGGCAGAAAACGGTGTTTGCACGACTGGTTTATTCAAGCCTGGGGGGACTAGTGAGTGCAAGTGCAACTTGTTGTACTACTACGACTACGACTACGACTACGACTACTACTACTACTACTACACTACTACTCCGGCTGCTGCGCTGCTGCTGCTGCTGCTGCTGCTTCTGTTACTGTTACTGCCACTGCTACTACTGCTACTAGTACTGCTACTACGACGTTTACGACTGCTGCTACTCCTACTTCTACTTCTTCCACTCCTGCTACTACCTCCAGTACTAGTACTGCTTCTCTTCTACGCTAACTACTAGCACCACCACCACCACCACCACCACTGTTACTACTTCTACTACCACTACCACTACCACTACCACTACGACTACGACCTACTACTACTACTACTACTACTACTACTGCTACTGCTACTACTACTACTACCTCCTCCTCCTGCTGCTGCTGCCGCTGCTGCTACTACTGCTGCTGCTGCTGCTGCTGCCGCCGCCACTACCGCTACAAGTGCTATTTGCAACGAGAAGGATTCTGTCTGCATTCTAGTGGTGGTAATAGAAGGCGAACCAAACAGTTCCAACGACACCACGACGGCTGCCACTGCTCCTCCTTGTTGGCACTCTCGATTTCATGTGTGTGCGCGACCACTCCTGCGACCTGGCAGGATGGAGTGATGCGGTGCAAGGGGCCGGCCAGGGCCATCGACCAGGTGGCAATGCACGCCGACATGAGGCGCTTTGCCGGGTTTCAGCGGATGTTTTTGGTCATTCAAGCTTTGTCTTTGGTCGGCGACGGTGGCTTTTGTTGGGGAGCAGAGCAAAGCTTTGATTTTTTCACTTGCTTGCCCTGGTCTCTCTTTTTTACCCTTGGTTCTCCGCCCCTCCGAATGCTCTGTGGGAGGCAAATTGACATGAAGCTCTCCATGCTCATGCGCAGCATCGACGGCAAGTACAAAGCTGCTGAAGAGGAGGCCCCCCCCCTCTGTGGGTTTACGTGTGGAGATAGGGGCTGTTTAAGGAGAAAAGAGAAGGATGATGTCGTCTGTCCTTGGAGTGCTTTTCTTTTTTGTGGTGATTTCTAGTTTCCGGACTCTAACCTTTTTTGCTTAAATGGACTCTAGCAACCGCGTGTCGTTTTTGCAGTTTTGGCAAGTGCCTTGCGGCTTTGTTTCCGCCTCCAAGAACGGCCTTGCAGCTTGTACTTAAGGGGTTAGGGCTGGTGAAATCGCAGAGCTTGGCAAGACTTTTAATTCCATTCACGAACGAGTATGTCAGAACAGCGGACGCCCTGACAAAAATACTTGTTATCAGGGATCGGGAATGACTCCTCATTTTGAACCCCATTTTGTCTGGGTCCTACTTAAGGTCTTCTGCGGAGTGCAAGTAAGCAGCTTCCAAGGACAGGGCCGCACGTGCAAGCCCGGCACGCAGAGCTGAAAAGATGATGGTTTTCCGCTCCCAAAACACGATGTGGAGCCATCAATGAGTGTTCACAGGACCGTGTTCCGGGCTGCATTCTGATAAGGCACGCGGTGACCGCGGCTCTAGTTGATTGGTTCCGTTTGTATTCTTCTGGCAACTGTTGCTGTAGTCAACTCACAGGTTGTCCCTTGTTTCATGTGGCCGGCTCTCACAGCGAACTTGGTTGTTGTTGCTCTTGCAAGCTTGCCCTCGAGATTTCTCATCGTATTCTCAGCTCGGCAGCCCGCAGGGCCCTTCGGCCGAAAATAAAGTTAGCCGCTAGTTAGCCAAATACGAGATACCTTGAATTCTCCAGGTCTTTACGTAGGGCATGGGTTCACGAAGACCTTGAATTCAGACCCAGAAGGGAGCTTCATCGGATGGTCTAAATTCAAGAACCCCTGAAAGCAAGATACCAGCAAGTTCAGCATTCTCCAAACAGCTTGCAAACCGGGCATTGGTCCAATTTCCTTGCTTCCGAACGCACAAGTTCTGTGGGCTCCAGATGATGACGCACTATGGGTTGCTACCGGTGTAGTTTTAGGTTTTGATGAGTTGGAGCCTTTGCGCTCGGGCCTGGGATTTGCAGTTTGCAGAACCACAGCCTCCGCCCGAAGAGGAATTGATAGGGCGTGTGTCGGAATAATGTAATTGCAGATCGGCAGTCGTACACGAAGGGGTGTCTGGCTCCACCTCAAATCACCGACTGTTATGCCTGCCTAGGCCAGTGCCGTGGGCCCAACTTGTTGTTAGGAACTGCCGGGTTAAGTTTTGGGCCGTCAGAGATCACTGTGTTCGACCCTCTTTTGCAAGACCATGTTGTAGATTGCCATGTGGTTTTCATGAAGGTAATCATGGAGCAGGCGATCAGCAGGAATGTATGTTGGAACTGAGAGCGAACCATAGTAATGAGGCACTGCGAAACTAACTCGAGGACGTAGATGTGGCTGTTAAGAAGCGGTTCTGGGCTACGCTGCATATGCTTGCTTATGTCGTGTTCAGCATTCAGCATGTCGGGTTCTGGCGTGTGGATTTCGGCAGCATGCTGCCCTCCGAAATCATCTCATGCTTGCACAAGGCGGCCCAGAATAAAAGAAGCACGTGCAATGTGCAGTACCATCATCGGTATTGAAACGCTGCCAGATTGAAACGATTCGAAAACGCTTCTGAGGCAACCCAGAGGTTTGCAGGTGACTCGTCGAAGCAAAGCCAGAACCAAACCGCGGTTCTGCAATGCAAAAGACTCCTGACCCCCGCTCCCAGCCGCTCCCTTTATTGGATTTCAAACAAGAGGTATCCACAGGTTAAGCCCCCTTGAAAGGGGGGGCTTCATGGATGAGGGATCCTATGTAGAAAACTGACAGTTTGTGAATAGACACTAACACATCCCAAAGGTTCTTTCTAATCATTACGGTCCCTACGGTACATTATCTCAGCCATCGTGATTTCGACACATGCCTTGCCATTGCAAAGAGCGCACGCCGTTGCCTTTTTTTTGTCGGGCCTACGTTCGCGTCCGAAGGCCCGGTACTCATCTAGAGTTCCGCGCAAGACCAGTACCCGAAAATACAAGAGAACCACCTGAAAATCATAGGGGGGGCCCCTATGTGGGGATTCAAGGTCTATTGCTTTATGGAGCGGTATCTGGCTCTGTGCCTAAATGCATGAAGCCGTATAAGGCCCTCATTACGATGGTATTGGGCTTGCAGAGTTCGTCGCCCCATCGAAGATGGGGCATTCTTCGTCCCAACTCGGACGAGAAAGCGCCTCTCAATTTGGGTCCCTGGTTCTTCCTGTCCTTGGCCGTCTTCTGGTCGGTGGTTTTTAGGCTTTTATGACGGAGCTTTAGGGTGGGGTTCGGAAGTGGGCCAATTCTCGCTGTCGGTTTGATGCATCTTCTTTCTATCGCACTCAGCGAAACGGCATCGTTTGGCTGAGGTTGAGGCTCATGGTTGCCCTCGGGATGCCAGGGGCCCTAATCTCCGACCCCTTCCGAGAGTGTTCTTCACCCGCGACGGGTTGCCTCTTCCCTGCGATTCTGGATGCCGGTAACATCTTAAGGCTGCCACCATCATCGCCGATGTCGGCATCGTCGGCTCCAGATAATGGTCAGAAGCACATAGGCCCCATACGTTGTTTCGTCGTGCTGTGTCCTGGGCTACTGTGAGTAACTGCGGCCCAATTGGCATTTCAGAAACGGAGCATCCTGTACTTCGAAGAAGAAGACATCAGTGAGCCGAGCTCCTGTGCGTACCAAGATTTGCGCCGACCAGGTGCGAGCGCTCGTGGACCAAGTCCAGCCGGTCTCGAACGTTGTTGTTGTATTCCTGTGCTTTTCTCGAGATCAAGGTCCAGCTGACGTAAAACCGCCATAAATCCAGAATTCTGGACTGCATACTGCTTCCGTCTACCTTGATATTGTGATGGCAAGCTTTTAAACTTGACCGGTGCAATGCCCAGCCGGCCAAAGGCAGGCTTTTTTTGTGAAACCTCTGGATAGCCCAAAGGCCTAAGCCTAAAACCCTGAAAGTCCTCAAACCCCAGTACAAAAGCCTGAAGAATTACCAGCCCTATTCGTTTCAGGGTGTCGACTACCTTAAGGGGACCCTATTCGAACTATTCAGGGGCCCCTACATGAACAAGACTGCGGAGCGCCTCCAAGAGACGCCAAACCTCGCGAGGTCCCTGGCTAAAGAGGCCCTGTGGCAAGGATGGAGTCTCGGGCTCAGGTTTAGGGTTTCTATCGGGCTTGAAACACTACTAGTCATAATGGTCGCCGCTTCGCCCGAATATGATTTCCTATATAATACCGAGTTTCGTGCTAGGAGAGTGCAAGCTTACAATGCCAGCTGGGTGTTCGCGGTTCCGAGCTTCGCGCTAATTTATAGATACAGCAACACAGAAAATTATGATTACTATTGCTACCACTGCTACTACTACCACCACCACCACCACCACCACGACTACTACTACTACTACTACGACGACGACGACGGCGACGACGACGACGACGACGCCTACTAGTACTACTAGCAGCTACTACTACTACTACTACTACTACTACTGCTACCTACATCTAGCACCACCACCACCGCCGCCGCCGCCACCGCCACCGCCACCATTACCAATACTACCATTACCAGTACCAATACCAGCACCGCAATTGCTATTATTTCCAAAACAGCTAGGAATTATCCTCAGCATGGTACCATTTTCATACTACGAGTCTTTTTGCATTGTTAAGACTTGAGCAATGCCAACTGGTTTGTGCTGGCGGTGCTGTCTCACTTTGCTGCACTAAGTGTGACTCTTGCCATTTTGCACCGACATCACCCCGGGAGCGGTATCTGCGGTTCACGCATTCAAGCACACTGTCGATCCAGTGAGTAGTACTGTTGCGGTTACTTTGTCCTTAATGCATGCCTCCATCATGTTGCCTTGCCTTGGTTGTTCTCGTTCCTACTGCGGCGGCCCTCGCTCTTCGGTATTCTGCCTGCAATAAGACTTTCAACACGAACTGCTTGTGATCCACTTTCTGTCCTGTTGGTATTGTTGCTGCAGTTGGCTTTATCATTGCCACGTTTGGCACCACCACGCTGCGCACCACCATGCTGGACCTGCTGCTTCGCATGATACCTCTGCTATGTATTATTGAAGTCACCATTCATACACGACTCCCTCCCGGACTTCTATCGCCGGCCGTAAGCGACCTGGGTTTGCAACTGTGCATCACATATTGCCAACAACACCGGAAATCGGAAATCCCTGTGCCGGGCCCATCTCGCCATCCTGCCTCTGACACGGTGCCTTGATGCTGTCTTGAGGCGGCTGTCGGGCGTTTAAAAGAGTTCACTAAAGCTCCAAACAGCTTTCAGAGGTGCAGCTTGCCGGTCAACCGAGCAAAGAGTTCGCGCTTGCAGAAGGGGTTTTGCATTCCCGATGGTTTCAGTTTTTCGAAATAGAGGCACATGCGCATGGTGCAGTGGAGTGCTGCATGCGACAGCTTGGCATTGCTCGTGTAAATTCTGTAGTCATCAATCATTTCTCGGACTGCTACAGCATGGAAGGTCTTTCGACTGCAAACAAGTTTAGTAGTATTGTAGTAGAAGTAGTAGAAGTAGAAGACGTAGTAGTAGTAG